GGGAAATCAACAAAACAGTTAAAAGTAAAAAAAATAAAAATAAAAAAAATGAAATAAATATTGTAATAGCTAGCTTTGTGATAGCAGTCTTTATGAGATACTGGCTGAAGGAGGAAAAAAAGCTGTTAACTGAATCATAAAAGTTGTGACAATGTATTTCATTTATTAAAAGTAATATTTTGTTTTGATCTTGAATACATATTTATACTGTTTATACTCCTTGTGATGAATCGCTCCTGATTTTGCAGCCTCCTGCCTTTGAGGTGTGAGTCAGCCAGTCGTCTTCTCTGTAGCGGTTCAGGACAGGGCTGTCAGTTATCAGTCAGTGATGTCAGAAGAAGGAAAGCAGAGCGCCACACCTGCCCCTGCATCCACTATGGACACGAAGTCTGAGTCCACAGCCTCGCCACCTACCGGCCAGGGGGTTTCATCGGTGTCTCCTCCGGTGTCCACAGTAGCACAGCCTGCACCACCTGCAACTGAGGATGAGGAGGAGGAGAGCGAAGATGAATCTGAAATCCTGGAGGAAAGCCCCTGTGGACGCTGGCAGAAACGGAGAGAAGAGGTACAGTTCAAGTCTTTCAATAGCTTTGTGTAAAGAATGGATCAAAATGTAAGCAATTATTTACTCATAATGTTCCCCTCCTCAACAGGTTAACCAGCGCAACGTCCCAGGTATCGACAATGCTTATCTTGCCATGGACACAGAGGAAGGTGTGGAGGTGGTGTGGAATGAGGTCATGTTTTCTGAAAGGAAGAACTTCAAACTACAAGAGGTAAAACTACTAATTTTGTGCCTGCTTTGTTGTTTCTGTGACAAAGGTATGCAGTGATGGGTAGGTGTGCAGTCTACGGAGTCTGACTTTTATCTGAAATAACGGCTGAAACTTCAATGATATTCATTAAGAAAAAATGTGGGGTGTGACTTGATTTTGTGCTTCAGTTACATACCAGATTGGAATCAGATTGAATGCATGTTTGCTAAAACCTGCTTTCATATCTATTTTAACAATGTCCAATAGCATGCACCTTAACAATGTCATTGTGATGGAAAGTTGTTTCAGATGAAGATTACATAAAGTCTAGGGTCAATATGATTAAAAAAAAAAAGAAATTGATACTTTTATTCAGCAAGGATGCATTCAATTGATCAAAACTGACAGTAAAGATGATTATAAAAGATTTCTGTTTGAAATAAATTCTGTTATTTTGTACTCTCTATTCATCAAAGAATGCTAAAAAAAAAGTTTCATGGTTTCCACTAACATATTAAGCAACACAACGGTTGAAAAGTAATGAGAATTTTTTCCTTGAGCACCAAATCGGCATATTAGTATGTTTTTTGAGGGCTCATGTGACTGAATGGCTGCTGAAAATTCAGGTTTGCTATTATAATAATAATAATAATAATAATAATAATTCATTACATTTATATAGCGCTTTTCTAGGCACTCAAAGCGCTTTACATTGTCAGGGGGTATCTCTTGCATCCCATTTATTATAGAAATAAAATGTATTTTAAAATATATTAAAATAGAAAAGTTATTTTAGATTGTAATAATATTTCACAATATTAAACTCTTTACTGTATTTTTTGATCAAATATGCAGCCTTGGTGAGGTTTCTTTCAAAAAAATAAAAATCTTGCCGTTTATAAGGAACATGCATTAAAGTAAATAGGGTCAGTTTTGATATCATGTGGATCTTAGTTGTAACCAGTATGAATGAACTGATAGTTTACTGCTGAATGTTTATTTAAACGTGACGTGAGTGTTCTGTTGTGAAAGTTCACCAGTGATTATTATCTCCATACATGGCCACAAATTCAGCTGTACTGCTTCCTGTGTTCTTGCTTACTAACATATTAAGCCGTGAATTAGCAATACCAATGAGTATTTAACTATGAGTGTTAGGACAGCTTGATTGCTTCACAGAATGAGTGTACTTACCTTCATTTCTTGGGTGTAAGCTCCATACATAAAGTGGTCTGACCTGTTTGCTGCCAAGCCTTTATGGAAACAGCAATCTCGCTCGGAGCCTTCAGCTACTTATGAAAAGTATTGTAAGAAAAGCATTCTCTGTGGTTATGTAACTATCTTTTTAAGTGTTGAAATATTTAAAAGGTCATTCTTCTCTTTCTAATATAGCATACTTCACTCTGTCATTGCCTGTGAGCGCTTTTAAGCAAACTCGATTCATTAATGCCTGGCATAGAGTCGTGGACAGCCATCTGTTTGGCCCGTCCACATGCTGCGCTCAGCTCTGCTTGGCAGACACTCTTTGTGGAATTCAATAAGTAATTTTAGAGGTTGCGTTTTGACAGGCTTTGCCTTCTACAATGCTGATTGCATTTCCCATAAACACATAAAAAGCAATGGAGTTTTTCCCTTGATCTTTTAAATAAGTTTGTTGTTATTGCATAATAAAGCGAGAGTTCAGTATTATATTATAATAACCTGTTCCTCTAAAAGTCAAGGCGTTATGTTACATATTTTGTCAAACAGCTCCCTCAAGGTTAAATTAATCTAATTTTCTTTTTATATTTCTCAGGAAAAAGTCAAGGCAGTGTTTGATAACCTCATCCAGCTGGAACATGTGAATATAGTAAAGTTTCACAAGTACTGGGCAGATGTGAAGGAGAACAGAGCCAGGGTATGAAACGCAACAACAAAAATATAAAAAATGTCCCATTTTTGGAGTTTAATCATTTTTTTGTCACCCCCTTCAGGTTATTTTCATCACAGAGTACATGTCTTCTGGGAGCCTGAAGCAGTTTCTAAAGAAGACAAAGAAGAATCATAAGACCATGAATGAGAAGGTAGCCTAATATTGCTGCTCTGTCTATTCAGACAAATAGACAAAAAAGCTGTGAAGACATAATGCACTGCAGACTAATACATATCTTTTGTCTTAAATTACTTGCTTGAATGTTAGTAATGGTTGATCCGTATGGCACAACTCAGATTTGTTTAAAACTCTGAATGATATTTTTTTTGAGAGAGTACTATGTGCTAGTAGTTTTGGTACAATATTAATAATTTCAAATATAGCATATCATAAAAACAAAATGCATTATTTATATGGGATTAATGAAGAAACCTGCTGTAGTATCAGACGGTTATTTGTCTTGTCAAGGCCAATAACTCTTTCTGGGACTCTTCTAGGCATGGAAACGCTGGTGCACTCAGATATTATCTGCCTTAAGGTGTGTGTACTTTTCTCTATCCCTATTTATTTTTTATTTTTTTTGTTCAAATGCTAAGATGTTTACCAGTAATGTGGAGATATAATTGGAAATGTTGACAAATTCCTCATTGGTTGCTGGAAAGTTTTCTGTGACTGTTATAGCTGTCCATTTCTTTTTGTTTTGATGTTCCACTATAAGTCTCGTGGAGAGCTCCTATTACACTCACATTTCTCACCGTTCTTCCTTCAGCTATTTGCATTCATGTGAACCTGCCATTATCCATGGGAACCTGACCTGTGACACCATTTTCATACAGCACAATGGACTCATCAAAATCGGCTCAGGTGGGCTGAAGCACACTGTTGGGTATGACTGTTTAAATGTTACACATTTTATTATTGTTGCTGATGTTTTTGTGTCTTTTTGTAGTGGCCCCAGACACCATTAATAACCATGTGAAAACATGTCGGGAGGAACAGAAGAGTTTGCACTTCTTTGCTCCAGAGTATGCAGGTAAAACTAGGTTTTAAAACCCCATTCTACAGTCTTGTTTCAATGCACTTGTTAAAGTAAAAAAATGGCTTTTTACAATTTGCTTTTTTTCCTTCATCCACCTCAGCTGTTGCCAATGTCACTACAGCTGTGGACATCTATTCCTTTGGAATGTGCGCCTTAGAGGTGAGTGCTGTTTATTGATCATTCGTCAGGGTATTGGTCTGACCAGACCAGTGATTCAGGTTTTTCTCCCACTGTTTTAGATGGCTGTGCTGGAAATTCAAAGTAATGGAGAGTCCTCATATGTGTCACAAGAAGCCATTAATAATGCCATCCAGTCTCTGGAGGATCCGCTGCAGAGAGTGAGTATAGATTGTCAGTACTTAAATTATTTGCATTCAAAGATTGGCTACTGTTCAAATGGGGCCAGTCTCTTACGCTGAGCAAGGCTGCATTTATTTGATTAAAAATACAGTAAACATTTTAATACTGTGAAATAATATAATATAAAATATCTACATTTCTATTGAAAATTTTCAGCAGCCATTACTCCAGTCTTTACTGTCATGATCCTTCAGAAATTATTCCAATATGCTTATTTGCTACTCAAGAAACATTTATTACCGTTATTGAAAACACTTGTGCAGCTTAATATTTTTATGAAAACTTTGGAATTTTTATAAAATATTTTTTGTGAACTTTATTTTTATGACTTTTTTCAGGATTTTTGATGACTAGAAAGTTCAGAAGAACCATATTTATTTGTAATAAATAAAATATTTTTTTTGTTTGGTTTTGTTTTTTTTTGTTCACAATTGAATAATTGAAAAATTCTGTAAGATGAGATACATGTGGAATTTGAATATGCATATCTGCAACAGGCTTTACAGATTACAAATAAAATAAATAATTTGTATATTCAGTTAGATTGTTTCCCCCCAAACTAGAATATGATGTGTTGCATGTATCAACTAAATTTAAATGACAATCACAAATATCCATCAGTAAATCGGAGTGTTGCAGTATAGCTGAAATATGAAGAATTATGCATATAGTAGCATAACACAGCACCTGACCACCTGAAATGGTTCCCTCCTCTCTTTAAGAATTTATGGTTAAATATTGTAACCATTATTTTTTTTTCCCCACACACCCCCATTGGTGACTGTGTCTGTATGAGCCAATCAACTTTTCAACAGAATAATGTTATTCTTAATATGTATGTACTAATGGATGTGAAGTGTCATGTTTCTGTGTGTGTGTGTGTTTTAGGAGTTTATTCAGAAGTGTCTGGAGGTGGACCCCAGTAAGAGGCCCACAGCCAGAGAGCTGCTTTTCCATCAAGCTCTGTTTGAAGTGCCTCTTTTGAAACTATTGGCTGCACACTGTATCGTCAGTCACCAGCGTGAGTCATGAGCTAATCTCATTATCATTCAGACATTTCATTTCAGCTTCATGAATGGAATACAATGAAGCTAAACACATTGAAACCATTTTCCCTTTTGGCTTCTAGACATGATCCCTGAAAATGCTTTAGAGGAAATGACTAAGAACATGGACCCCAACCAGGTCATTATGGAAAGGAAAGAGGTCCAACTAAAGTGAGTCTCCTCCTGTGATTCATTTGTGCCTTGTTTTTAGATTTAGGTTTCAAATAAGCTGTCATGCCACGTAAATGGCTTCTGTAACCCTGTCTCTTTTTCCATCAGACTCTCGCAGTTTCCTGCTTTGGAGCTTGACAAGTTTCTTGAAGATGTGAGGTGAGCTAAAAAAAAAAAATCTTAATATTCTTACCAATTATTTATTATTTTTTTAAAGAAATGAGTTGGGCCAGATTCAAATGTTAAGAAAGCAGTAACGATGTTCAAACAAGCACAAATATAATATCAACATGTGCTCTTGGTTCTCGTGATGTAGGAATGGGATCTATCCGCTGACTGCCTTCGGCGTGCCCTGCCCACAGCAGCCTCAGCAAGAGGCTGTCAAGTCCCCCATCGTGCCACCCTCTGTCAAAACGCCTACGCCTGAGCCTGCAGAGCTGGAGACCAGGAAGGTGAGAAATGGACTGATTTAAGAGACAGTGACCGACTATCAATGATTAAGAATAAATCACAGTTTTCTCACCTTCCCCTGCTGTCGATCAGGCTGTCTCTGTGTGGCGTATTACTACTTCCCTCTCAGACAAACCTAGATGGGTGGTTACAGTCAAAGTCAACAGGATTTGCAGTCTTTTAGCATCATATGTTTGTTTTAAACATAATCTCTCTCCTTTAAGGTCGTGCAAATGCAGTGCAACATTGAGCCTGTAGAGGAAGGAGCAAAACATCATGTGAGCCTTTTTCCTATTTATTGCTGTAATAACGTTGAAGTTAGATGATAATTCTGTGTTTATATCTTCTCTCTGCTCTTTTTATAGCTGACCTTACTGCTAAAACTGGAAGATAAGCTGAACCGACACTTGAGTTGTGATTTGGCACCAAGTGAGTACTTTATCAGGCCCCAAACACACTACACAAGCATGTAAACGCTTCCAGCTACACAGCTTGATTTCACATGCCGTTGTGTTCTGAAATGTTTCAGAATGAAACACAAGTATGCGTTGCATTCTCAGCTGCAAGAGACGCAGCTATAAAGGGCATCAACTCAGTCGGTTTTGTCTTTCAAGTCAAGTTGCTCAGATTCAAGAAGCTTGCTGAGTTAGTTGAACTGTCAGCATGTTTATAGCTAGCTACCTGAATACACATCTTGATTTAATCCAACACAGATGCAAGAATGCAAGAATCTGTTAATTAAGCAATTTACAATGACCATGTGCCTTCAATCAAATGTATGTACCTGCATAATTTGTTTCTGTTCTAATGTTCTTGTTTTTGTTCTTATTTGTGAATTATGAAACCATTTTCTGATACAAAAACATGAGTTGAGCAGATACACTGAAGTGCATCAGGTTCAGATTAGAATTGTGACTGTGTTCACATACGGCACTTTTCCACCAGCAGCATTTTGACTTGTTGCACCAACGGAGTATTGGTGAAACTTAAGAATGGTGTTCTGTGTGTTTTAGATGAGAATGTACAGGAGTTGGCCGTGGAACTGGTTCAGCTTGGCTTCATTAGTGAGGTAAGATTTCGTTAGTTTCACTCAAGATTTGATATACACTACCATCCTTTTTTGAAAGAAATTACCTTTTTTATAAGTTACAGTAAAGACATCATGTTACAATAGACTTCAGTTTCAGATTAATTCAGTTCCTTTCTTTATATTCATCAAAATAAAATGTATCACTGTTTCATATGACCACAATAATATTAAGGTGGACATAGGGCTGAGCGAATTTTCTGATTTTATCGATTAATTCTAATTTAACGTTTTGCCACGATTTTATTCTTTATAAATCGAGGAATTATGATTTTGAATAGAAATATTACTAGACACTTTGGCAATATGCCAAACTAGAGCACCGCGTTTTTAGAATGCCCTTTCATGCTTAGACATGTGCCAGTATTCAGTATTGCGATATTAGTCTTATTCTGTGTAAGAAGCCACATCATCTCAAGGATTTATTTCAAACACTCGACTGACGTTATGAAGTGAGTTTGGAGTAGAAATATGTTATTAAATGTAGTATATTCACATTCTTTCAGATGACAAGATGCGCATGACAATCACATTTGATTAATCGTGCAGCCCTAGTTTTATTGTTGGCATGGTTACTGTGTTTAGCAAGTATTGGTGAGATCACATAATGTTCTGGACTTTTTTCTTTTTTTTTTTTTTTAAACATATGTCACCAGGTTCAAATTTACAAAGCACTAGTTAGTGCCAGCATTCATACAATGTTTCCAATCAATAATTCAGTTGCTTGAGGAAATGTTTGGATCAGCTGTGGCTGATTCCAGGAAGAATAAGAAAAGAGAGACAATGTGAGCAGTGAACAGCACATAGAGTAGAGTCCATGGATGAGATGTACCCAAAAAACAGACATGAAAACTTTCTCTGTTAATGCACAAACCAGGGCCAGACCTCTCACAGAGAATACCACAGTAGAGCTTGGCACTATAACGCTAGTGCAAATTAGCATACGACAGCTTTTTCATCTGTACCACCATGGATTTTTGTTGGGTAGCACCATTACAACTATTTTCTGCAGTTCACAGCCAGTTTTCTTAATTTAAAGAGGGTTTCCCTCCAGTCTTAATGAGCAATTCATGCTCTTTCTTGACTATAAGTAAGGAATTCTCTCAGTTCATCTCATTGGTATTGTCATCTGTCAGATTTGGCACTTTTGTAAGGAATGCTGCTGTACCATCTGTGTTAACTCCAGCATTTTTTCTTATTTCATCTCTCTCTGCCATTAATACCTGACCCTGCACAGTAGTTAATTCAGCTTTATAAAACGGATGGTTCCGTTTAGCTTCGCGTCGTGCCTAACAACGCCCCTTAGCTGTTCTAAATTCACTGTAAACCACGGCTTCTTGGGGCTTATTGCTTTATTTTACAGCCACTTTCTCTGGCGTCGTTCCTTTTGTTTCAATTATTTATTTGATCTATACTAGGGATTCCAATTCCATTTGATCTACCTGAGATTTCAAGATGTGCTTTGCTGCATCCCTTTAGTTTATTTATTTCGTTTTTTCTTGTTTTTAATCTATTTAAATTTTAAAAGGTATTCATTCTCTTTATTTTTCCTTCAGTTACTGGTGCCACTTTGTTTTAAACTTGTTTTTTTCTGGCTCTGTCAAGGGGGACCAGCCACGTCTCACTACTGTGCTGGAGGAGGCGTTCTCTAGATACTACAGCCGTAACGGCTCTCTGAATCCTGTAACCGTTTCCTCATAGCAGAGGGTCAAATCTGCCAGCTCCTCTCCACCATCCTTTATCTTCATGCACGGGACGGGACTCTAGCGCTTCATCACTCAGAGGATCATGTGTGAGTTTTGTAGGAAGGGATCAGAACGCCTCGAACTGAGCCTCAGAAAGAAAAGCACCCCTGCGTTCTGTTCTTCACACTGCTTTAGGTGGTGGAAAAGTGTTGGCTGATGGTTCCCGTGTACATTTATTCTGTCAGTGTAGCAGTCTGCTTCTCTGTTTTAAAAGAAGAAAAAAGGACTCTTATTATTTAAATCAGTATTACGAGCTGTATTTTGGAACGTTTTTGCTTACAGTATGTGTGGGATGGGTTACTTCTGGTTTGCACCTTAGCAAATCTTTTTTTGTCTTTTTAGGCACATCACATGCATATTTCATGATCTTTTATTCACCCTTTCAATCATTCATTTATTCTACGGTGTTGCTTTGAAATTGTTACCAAATAACATTGTCTTTGTACCTTTTAAGGCACACGTTAATTGTGGTTAACTTTGGTCTGCAATGCAAGATCTACGACAACTGTGAAAGGAAAGGGGTTCTCGAAACGTTGAAAAAAGCAAACAGATTATTTATCTATATGCGTATGGTCTATCTTGAAGCGTGTTTCACTTTCATCATTGTGGCGGCTGTTTTTTCCCCTTCATTACCTGTGAATGTATGCTGTAAGTTTTCATTTGAATGGTTTCGAAGCGAAGGGCACTTGATTTGACTTCTCTGTTTTCCCTGTATGTGACAGTTATGAGTTTCAGTATAAAGAAACGATCTCCAGTGCACTAGACGTGTTAAAATGTGCCTTCAACAGACACAAAATAAATCCATGTTCAGAAGACCCATAGACTGACAAACACATTGTATTATTCCTTTTTTCATTGAGCAGATTTTGTAGTGTTTTCTTTGTCAACTGGTCTGCATGCTAGTATACTGTAACAATTTTTTGGCATGTTTGCAGTATATCAAAACTCCGAGGGTTTCTGGTGGTGCCTTTTCTTTTGGGCAGCATCATTTCAGCCCAAATGAGCAGTTTGCACTGATTTGTTTTATGTTTATGGCAATAAATTTCATATTCACCTCGATGGCACATCAGCATCATCTGTTACAAGCAGCTAATTTGAAATTATGCATGAAATGCAGTTTAACAACTGAGAAACTCTAGTTTTCTTCTGATCGATAATTGTGTTGCTTGTTTCTTTTTAATTATATAATGGTTCGAATTGCAAATTGCTTCAGATATCAGACAGCGGAGTGGAAATGATGCCTGAAACATTGAAAAGCACACAACAAACAATGTTTTCTTTTGTTAATGCAGACCAGCAGTGACAAATTAGAAGAATTTGAAATGGATGATTCATTCTGTGGTTGTTTTGAAAGAAACAACATGCTTTGTATCAATCCCTCTCTCTGTTTGATCTGTCTAACGGGAGGAAACTATTACCCAGAATCATTTTGAATTGCCTAGTTTGTATCATGCAAAACATTCAGAAACTCATAACTGTTTTTACTCTGTTAAATCTTTTCAATTTGCATCATTCATTGATATAAAGATGAGATACTGAGTACTTCTGTTCTTTGTCCGTTTCATTTCGGCTCCTAAATACAATATTAAAAGGAATAGTTCACCCAAAAAGCAAAATTCTGTCATTTTTTATTCACCCTCATGTCATTCTAAACCCATGTGACTTGTTTTTTTTTCTTTCTGTGGAATACTGTCCATACAGTAAAGTTAGTGGATGACACTAAACTGCATTGGCTTTGACTTCATATAGGTTTGGTAAAAAAAAAAAGGGGGTGAGTAAATGACAGAACTTGAATCTTGTGTCAGAAAGTCATGTGGAAAAGAATACAATATTATCATTGAAAATTACTTTATTAGTGCTTCCAGAATTATTGGAAGAAAACAGCCCTTGCACAAATGCACAATTAGACATCAAAATCGGGAGGAAACTATTACCCAGAATCATTTTGAATTGCCTAGTTTGTATCATGCAAAACATTCAGAAACTCATAACTGTTTTTACTCTGTTAAATCTTTTCAATTTGCATCATTCATTGATATAAAGATGAGATACTGAGTACTTCTGTTCTTTGTCCGTTTCATTTCGGCTCCTAAATACAATATTAAAAGGAATAGTTCACCCAAAAAGCAAAATTCTGTCATTTTTTATTCACCCTCATGTCATTCTAAACCCATGTGACTTGTTTTTTTTTCTTTCTGTGGAATACTGTCCATACAGTAAAGTTAGTGGATGACACTAAACTGCATTGGCTTTGACTTCATATAGGTTTGGTAAAAAAAAAAAGGGGGTGAGTAAATGACAGAACTTGAATCTTGTGTCAGAAAGTCATGTGGAAAAGAATACAATATTATCATTGAAAATTACTTTATTAGTGCTTCCAGAATTATTGGAAGAAAACAGCCCTTGCACAAATGCACAATTAGACATCAAAATCTTTTTTTTTTTTCTCAAAACAATCAGTTTACATAAATTGGCATGCAGACCAACAAGCAGAATTACAAAATTAAACCATTATTTCATTTTGGTTTAGGAAAAAAAAAAAGTGTCAATCCAGAAAAATAAACTTCTCATAAAAAACATCCCATTGATACATAAAAAAGGCAACAATTTCAGAAACATGAAAACCTACAAACTTTTTTGTTTTGGTCACTTCTGTTGTAACGTTTGTAATGTAAAAAGAATACAAAACGGTACAAAGCACTCGAATATTCACATACTGACTTACGTTTGATATTGGCTTGCTATATAAATTGAATTCACATGAATAATGAGGCACAGAATGACCAAGTGAGGCATTGGCCTGTTATTGTCATGGCTGAAGAAGAGCCTCTTCATTTGAAACCCAACACAGGATATCCTGTCCTCATGATAAACTGTGCTCCTCATCAAGTTCACACTTTTTATTAAACTGCTATCTTGCCGTTTACGCAGCTTGCAGCGGTTTGTTCAGCAATCGATGGTCATCCGCTGGTCAACAATGTATTTACAGTCAACTTTGATTTCATCTGGAAAGAATCTCAAAGCAAGGTCACCTATAAGCGGCCTCAGTATCTCTGCTGAAATCAGTAAACACAGCCGTAGACGCACCCGAGGCTGGCTGTTGGCATTGTCAAAAGGCAAAGTTTTTGGGCAAACCTTGAAGCAGAGATGCCCTCATGTTTGGAATGTTGAGTCAAAACAATCCTTCAAAAGCCGTCCCGTCCGATTTGTCCTCGCTGGTCTTATTTCTTAAGACACTGGTACATGAGCGCTCTGGGATTCAGCATGTAGCGCTCAGAGTTGAAGAACTTGAGGTACTGAGGCATAGAGGACCTGGGGGCCATGTATGACATACCTGGAGCCACGGCCATCGCTTCAGCAAGCTTCTGTTTCATTTCTTTGACCTCGTGGTCTTGTTTCAGAATTTTAACTGTAAAGAAAGACATAAAAAAATTAAAACAGACTGATGAAGATAAGTTGGTGGAAAAAATATTTAAACCGGCCAACATGTTACCAATATATTGTGTGTTCCTAGATTTAAAAAAAATAATAATCGCAATATAGGTCTTGTATGCATAACTGGCATAATTTGAAATGAGATGAACCTTGCGCTATCTCCAGCTGTCTGCGTGCGTCTCCGAGCGCAGAGAAGAGGTCTAGCTTGAGACGGGTTTCGGCACTCAGGTTGTACTCTAGATGCTGAACCTTGTCCTGCAAGGAGGAGAGAGCTGAGAGCAAAGCGTCCGCTTCCTGCTCCGTGCATCTGTTCCTCTGGAGGGTCTGGGGAGAAGCAGGAGAATATTGCACATAGGAGATAGGAACAGAGCAGAACAGTACAAAATAAAGGTGATATGAAAGATTTGGGTGATTATGAATGATTCAGGTGAACATTTGAATCCCATTTGTCTAGTTCCAAAAAAAAACTGGGCTTTCAACCTTATAATGTTTAAAGGGTTAGTTCAGCCAAAAGTCATAATTTACTCACCCTCATGTTGTTCCAAACCTGTATGGCTTCCTTTCTTCTGCTGAATGTTTGTGACCAAACATATTCAGTTCCTGTTGACTTCCATTGTCATTTTTGTCCATACAAGTCAATGGGAACTGAAACTGTTTGGTCACAAACATTCTTCAAAATATATATATATATTTTTTTTTTTTGTTCCACAGAAGAAAGTAAGTCACATAGTTTTGGAACAACATGAGGGTGAGTAAATGATGACAGATTTTCATTTTTGGGTGAACTGTCCCTTTTTTGTGATATTAAACAGTTACTTTACTTTCAGACTATGTTCTTAATATGATGAAGAACTTGTTTAAGTAAATTCTTTGAGTACGCACATGAACATTCTACTAACATACTACGTTCTGTAGAATGTTTTCTGACAATTTTTGTTGAATCTGACAGCTCCAGTGGTATTATGGGATAGTAAAGTGTCCACTGGTTGCACACTTCAGAATTTTTGTGAATGCAGTATGTTATTCAGGTTTTTTTTCACAAACAATTTCATAAATATTGGATATTTGGGCATCCAACTCATTTGACACACTGCTTTTCATTCGATAAAGTACCCAGGGATTTATTATTTATTATTTTTCCAATTTCCTTTGGTTGCTACTTGATGCAAAGAAATGACACACTTCATCTTTAAAGCAACTGTATGTAGTTTTGTGTATTTTTGCTACTTTGGAGCCCCCTACAGTTAAGTGAGTGGAATTGACTGTCGTAATTACTCTGAATAGCCCACACCACATTTGTTGCTGTCGTAAAGCAATCCATCTGTATGGAATTTCGTACCCATTCACCAAACTCCCAGAAGAGACGTTTCAAGGTAAAAAGAAAAAAAAAAGAAGTAAAGTAAGTGCAATTGTTTTAAATATTTGTTTCCAACTTAAGGAGTCATTATAGGAGAATATACTGTTGTAAATTTTACATGTGTGATGGCTATTGAAAAAATAGTCTATTTAAAAAAATAATAATAATCAAATTTTGTATGCACAAATTTTGTTTAATAAATATCTGTGAGTCCAGCAGAGTTGAATTCCTTTGGGTCATACTTGCATTACTCTGTCACTACCAAAACAAAACAAAAAAATTAAAATTCTTTCCAATAAAAGAGAAAATTGTTCAAAATCTTGTTAAATTCATCATGATACAAAAATGTGCAGGTTGCACAATAATTTCTGAAAGATGTGGTTTCTGTTTTGGCATGGTTTAAATAGCAGATGGCAATAACAGCATTTAAACTGGGCGAGGAACAAGAAATAATGACAACAAAAGAAAAAAACTCAGAATCAGCATTCGGCACAGAAACGTTCACCCACCCCAACCAAAAAAAAGAAAAGAGCCACAGGCTGAGCACCACAGACAGCAAGCTACCAGATCTGACATGTGTCAGAACATGAAGAACATAAAAATATGAATCACAAACATCCAGCACAGCACAACTATTCAATGCAGTATGTAACTGAACAGATCTACGAACGCGTCCTTTACCTCCACTTCATTCTCTAGAGCTATCATTCGATTTTCTTTCTCCTGATATTCCAGCTGTAGTTGTTTGTACTCTGAGTCTAGATGTTTAGCTTTTTTCCTCAACATTTGAGTTTCACTGTGTTCTTGCCTATAGTGGATGGAAAAAATACAACATTTTACAGGTTTATTTTTGCCATTGCTATTTTGCATTAAGAATTCTACTGCCAATTATAACCATAATTAAAAAGCAGGACATTTAGACCTAGTCTCAAAGACACAGATTAAAAAATTCTAAATCGCATTGACAAGATTAATATACTGTATGCATATGTATGCCTCTTGCGCTACTGCTTTATTAATACAATTA